CCACGCGAGACAGGTAACACTTACGTATTGTTGCGTAGCTGCGTAACACGTTTTACGTATCTGCTTAACAGATCTAAAAGATGTATTTCACCACAGATATTCTTTGCATGTTGGAACGTTTGTTCCTTCTAGAGTAAATTTATGATTGATGGGAATATAAACCAACGTAAAATCTTACGTATTTTATAGGTTGAGCGTCTAATTCAAATAGAAAGGGGGTTCTCCAAGATGTTACGTAAACGCACAAAGGCGTTCGAACACACAGAGTACCCGAACGTAAAATCGTCTGTTAGAAAAAAGGTAAAACTAAGACATAAAAACGTACGAGACTAGTTGCCGAGTATAGGTACGGAAACGCAACAGAAACGTAACTTAGTACCGTTTTCTCAATTCTCTTACGTATGGCCAATACGCTATACCCCTTACCAAGAGTGGCCATGTTAAGAACATATATTTGTAGAATCTCCTTCTAACTTGTTGTGTTACCAATTGCGTTACCTAGATTGTAGATTTTCTGGTGAGTCTAGTCACGCAAGCCCGTGACAGAGAAGGAAAAGAAAACACGACACTGAGAACTCGTTTAGACAAACATGAAGAACGGTAAGACTGATTGAATAGAAAGTAACCAATAGTATTTACCTCAAATAGACAGTGTCCTCGTTCTTATTGTGAACATGTTGATACTTTGGAAAAGGTTGTCAATGACAAACGGGAATTCACGATGACCGAAAAGTACTATGGGTATTGATTATTGATGGCAATATTCGCCAATCAAAGGCAGTCAGTAATGTTGTTTACAAATTGAAGAAAAATATTTATGAAATAAAGATCTTTGATGATTGTTTTGGTCTCGTTTTTCGAACAGAGAAATGATTATTTATTAATATAGTATACCATATTAACTTTCGTTCGTGCATGCTTTATTCTATCGACCAATCTTTTAAGGCCGATTTAGACGACACAACTTTTCCGTACAACTATCGCATGCGATCTGCGTAAGTCATCCTTACAACATGGCTACAACTCGTGAGGCTATTAAGCAATTGTTTAAAATCCCTACGCAGGTTGCATGCACTTGCGATGGTTGTAAGCAAAAGTTGTGTCGTCTAAATCGGCCTTTACAAAAAGCTGTTCTCTTTGCACACGCACATTAACAGTATTTCTTCTTTTTTAGAATCACTGAGGTTTACACACAGTTAAGGAAACAAACCCAGCAATTCACCCGAGTCCTGCAGACTATTAAACACATAGAAGACTATTTAAACAGAACTGAAACGACAGGGTCTTCTGTGGACACAAGCTCGATCCCGTCGCTTCACAGTGAACAGATTCAAAGTCGATTATGACAGCAGAATACACCCCAATACAACTTAAAAGGGACTGAGGGTTTTTTTTCTAAATCAAAGCAACTGGATTGGTGCATTTTTATCGTGTCTAGTCGAAGCCAATCGTTTCAAATTTGCAACATTTGAACGCTGGCCAACTGCGTTCGCTTCGCAATTTAATGACATCGACAGTAGTCAGTTATGCTTTGACTTGAAAGTCCTTGCAAAGGGAAAGTTACCCGAAACTGCTAGGGCACGAGTTCGCGCTCTATTACAACGTCTAGTTCGAAACTTCTTCTTTTTAATCTAATTTTCTTTCGGTTAGTCCGGTTTTGTGTAGATATTTCAAAACAAACTCAGTGTAGTATAAACTATTATTTATTATTTTATTTATTGGTTTTATTACATTTGATTATGATGATATTGTATATGTATTTGATCGTGCACACCTCGCTAGAATGTAATGTATGTATATTTTCAAATAAATGCATTCATATTACGATAATTAACCGTGATATCAGATCATATTTGTACTGTTTATTACATATTAGAGTCGAAACTGCAGTTCAAACCAGGAACAGCATCTATTTACATCCGACATTATTTTTTATGAATCGAAGGCATTAGACGTACTACTACTAATATGGCCGCCATCTTGAATCATGAAGAAATTATGGAATTTCCAGTAGCAAATTTACTTTCTCTGATAATTTCGTGCATCAAAATTTATATTAGTGAGTTTTTATTGCTATTAGCTCGAATCTCAGCATTCAAAATGCCGTACAAATGTCGTACTTAAAAGCACTTTCCAAGCATAACATAGTTCTTACCGACACTAAAATAAAAGCTAACTTAACGTCACTTGTGAACAAACTTAGAGCAAATTAGAATATTTTGAATTAATTATCACTGTAGCCTCGCTGGCAGACGGTTCTTAAGATTATTATTCTCTTTATGATTTACATCTAGTTTCTGTAAAACTAACTAGTGAGGCTTCTACTTTTTCTCCATCGCCAGTATATCAGCATTTCCTGTCCTGGCGCTGTTTTTACGTCTGAGTCTTATCTCCATGACAACATAGAGTAAACAAAGAACACATAAGTACGCATACCACACGGCCCAGGCTGCTACTGGTACCACGTCCAGGAAGAGACCAAGGCAGATATTAATAAGGGCTAGTATCAGAGCAAAACGGCCTGCAAGCTTGTGGTACCATTCCCAGATAATTCGCTTTAAAGTTCGTGAGCCATCGGGCGACTTGTGAGGACGACTGGAAAAGAAAATACGTAAAATCACATCATCGTCAGTTGATAAGTCCTCCCACAGTCAAAAGTAGCCAGTTGAGCCTACAATTACTTACAAGAAACCATTCAGCGGTTGCATTACGCCGACAATCATGATGTCCAAACCAATGGCACCATGTGCAAACTTAAAATGATCAAACGGTACTGACATGACAGCACAGACAAAGCCAGCAATTGCGAACAACAAACCAGAAACCTGTGAAAGAGAGATCGATGATAAACTCATGTATACAAGTTCTATAAGGTTGTCATGCACTTGGAAAAAGGCTATCAAACCGAAAAGCATCATGGGAAAGTGGATAAAAAGTCTCCGGCCTTCACTGTTCCCTGAGCCGTCTTTAAAATTATTAAATCTTCTGTTT